GTATCTAAGTTCAGACCATTATGTTTGATGAAGTTGAGACAGAAAATGAGCTGAGATGGTGAAGAAAATCAAGAATGATTAAGAAACGGAGCCCGAAATCCCAGCAAAATATACTTTTTCGTTTTGTACCGTCAGCAGCCTAGAGTTTCCAACAATAATTTATTCAGCTGACATAATTTGAAAGAGCACACCTCTCTAGATATTTCTGAAAAGTCATTGAACAAACAGCCTTTTCTAGAGTACCTAAAAAAAGTAAATTAAAAATAGTGAATTTTTTCTAAATCTTCCTCATTTTAAAATTTGAATATCTCAGCTAGCATACAAGATAAACAAATTTTTTTTTACCATTCAATAGCCAGTTTAATTCTCTACAACCGGTATAAGATCAGCTTTCCACAACAATGCTTCCTTAGTTTGTTATAATGATAATGGCAATGTCCATTCAAATGGACATTGGGCTTTAAAGGGTTAATGACATATCATAAATGAACAGACATAGTGCAATTGTCCTGCCACTCGGAATTTTGATGCTCAGATTATTTAAAATCTAAAAAAATAAGAGTCATCACGTATATTTTTTAAATGTTGTTAAAGTCAGATCTATGACATAGCATACCTTAGGAGCAAAAAAAACTCCCTGATCAAGCTCATCAGGGTATTCAAATCTCAGGGAAAAGATTCAGAATGAGACAGTTATTGTTGAGATTACTGACCGGTGCATCTTTTCTTGAAGGATAAGCGAATTGAACGTTTTGAAATTCAATATTTCCTGTCAATATTTCCGGTTTTTCTCCCATGTTGCTAAATACGTCGATATTTGATTTCTAAAATTACTAAACATTGTGTACAAAGGACTGATTCTTAGTTTTAGTTTTGTATCATTTAAATTTACTCGGTCAATAATATCGAACACGTCGTTGGCACTAACTGAAGCTTCAACAAAATTTTGTATGACTGGTATAGCTTGACATAAAAAATAGGTTGCTGTCATGCAAGCAATGAAAATCTGGAAAAGAAAATCTTATTTTTTCAACAAACATATGGCTTTTTGTATACTTACGGCAATGACAGAACCAGCTGAATATGTTGTACATTCTGTTCTGTACAAATGCGACCCTTGAAGAGGCAGAAATAATCGATAAAAGAGTAGCAGAAACCCAAAACAGACTTTTGCACACATACCGTACCAAAAGACGCTTGCAAAAGCAGAATAAAGAAGAAAGTGAGACAATCCCTGACAGAATCCCATATAAATGCCTTTTTTAACACCGATTTGTTTAATTTCTAATAAGCTTCTACTGAATCTAGAACAAGAAGGGTTTATACTGATGTTTACCGGTTGATTCTTTTTTACTTTTCTTCCTCTTTTCTTTGTCCATGAAACGATGTAACCGTTCGAATGCTTTGAAAAGCTTCTTGCGCTATAGATGATACGGATGCATACCACTGATTTTCTGCTCTTGTATACTTGATTATAACCTAAAATAACCGATCATTTGACTTTAAAAATCATCCTTGATAACTTAGGTGGATTACCTTCTCAGTGAGATTTAATGTGAGCACAACAAATGGCACTATACTCATAAATACCAATGCTAGTTTCCATCCGTTGAATAAAGCAAAAGTAAAATTTCCAATAACTCTAGCTATTAACGATATAAAATTGGGAACTTTTTGGCTAAACGGCAAAAAGAAATAATTTCATCAGTGTCAACCAGTACATTGTTGCATATACCGTATTCCATTAGAAATTCTATCTATATCACTGATTAATCGTTGATTTAGATCGCCAATATTTATTGTATCAAACCATCCAATTTCTTGACGCAAAATGCTGCGAAATAAATAATATCTAAAAAACAAGCATAATTTCTGAGTGCTAATACTGGAACATCCTAGCACATAAATTATACCTGATGCGGCGAATTTGTCTTTCTCCAGCGATCATCCAGCAGGAAAAACCCAGCCAAAAAAGAAAAACAGTAACAAATCCAATAATGAGGTAATATATGATAATGGATTTTACTGTATTCAATAGATTTCCAGATGTTTCAATTAGGAAGCTAAAAATATGTAGAGTAGGAAGACATCAATACGACATTATATCACTTACCATTCTGATGTGGAATTGAAGGCTATTGCTGAGGTATTAAGTATTCGTGCTTTTTCGAAATTGAGAAAATTGTTCAAAATAATTTTATAAAGAGTAAACATTAGCGCAAAACTTGCTCCTATATAGTTCAAAAGAATGCTCATATAGCTACAGAGGTTAAGTTTTCTTATTACTATGTTTTCCCTACCAGTGCTAAGGGAAGCCAGTGTACCTATAGTCATCAATATCACATCCCATATATCGGCATATTTATACTAAAAAAAGACGAAGTAAGAGAAATATATCAATGATGATCGCATATGAGGGCTACGAACAATTTCAAATAGCTTTCGAGTTGCAACTTTCATCATGTTCAATTTGTTTGGTTTTTGAAGGAATCTATTAATAAACGATAGTCATATTAGGTTAGAGAGCAGACTACTTTGACTGATCACGTGTAAAATACTGTCCAAAAGCTGTCGGTCATGTTTCTTCTTTCAAAACTATTCTTAGTCTAACAGAAATTTAGACATTCAAAAAGCATCAATTTTTGCTTGATTCTGACATCACTAACCAGAACAATGAAAACGAGACAAAAAATGGCTCATTAATGAATCATTAATTGCTAATTAATTGACCATTTTTTGGTCATTAATGGTCATTTTTATCCCATAAACGGTATCATTATTCGTTCGTATTTAGACCATCTTTTTACCCGGTAAAAATGATCATTTTTGTGTCATTTCTTAGACATTAATGAGTCATCATATAATGTACCTGAAGTTATACACATAGTTGATGTTATTCACAGTCGACTGTTAAATAAATAGAGGGTTTTAAGGTTACCTTTCAAATGCCTTACCGATTAATTATAAAGATATGAGAGAAAAAAAGAGATGATACAAATACAGTTTATTTTAGGTTGAATAATATCATATAAAAAGACACCAAAACGTCGATATTTCTTACAATTACACTAATAAAACCTTGACAAATATACTATGTGAATGCACGGGACTGCTGTGGATGCGATAATGATGTAGATGTGTATCGTTGAAATTTATCAAACTATTAATCACTATCATGAATGAATGTTTATAAACGAAACGCTTTATTAGAAGCATAGAAAGCATTATCCGATCTTGAGATTTACTGATGCATTTTGGTAGAGTGGACGTTGGTGTACGACGTGGCGATATACACGCGTACATCAATGAAACTCTTTATTTGCTTTTTACTTTGATCACTGCACATGGTAAAGATGGCTTCTTTTGTCTTATCTAGTAGCAAGGTTTTATTAGTGTAATTGTAAGAAATATCGACGTTTTGGTCTTTTTATATGATATTATTCAACCTAAAATAAACTGTATTTGTATCATCTCTTTTTTTCTCTCGTATCTTTATAATTAATCGGTAAGGCATTTGAAAGGTAACCTTAAAATCCTCTATTTACTTAACAGTCGACTGTGAATAACATCATCTTATAATTTCAGATACATTATATCATCAGACAGGGTTAGACAGTTTAGTTGAAACTATAGGCAGAAGCGCTTTGTTTTTCCCGTGATGTTTATAATTGCTTGATAGATCAGTACATATATCAGTATAGCGTGATTAGTATATGTCACGCGTTAAAGATGTTTGTAGTGAGAGTAACTATAGTGTGATTTGAGTATTTGAAAGTATGGCAGATATTTCTGCATAAAGATTCTTCGCTCTGAGTGGTATAATTTTACATTCCACCAAGTAACGTTCACATGTTTCCTTTTTGCTGCATCTTCGTAAGCTGTCGCTCACTCAACCTCGTAAAAATAAGGCCACTCCCAATTGGAAAACGTAACACGTTAAACGGCAAAAGAAAACCTCTGAAAGTTTTACCTCTGAAAGAATAACTTTAGATATAAAATGGTTGGTTTTTAATGTGTCATGATGATTTTTCTGATGAAGATAGTTTAAATATTGCTCTTAAAATTTTACCTTCGATAAGTGATCAAAATGAGACGGCATAATGTTTCAGAGTTTAACAGTACAGGGAAAAAATGATCTACTAGCGGTAACTGTATGACAGATGCTTGCTTCTTTGAGTTAGAAGGTATATTGTTGTGACTATTTTGACTGAATTGCACGTTGTTTCTTAAGAATAGTGCTATTTTCCTTACAATAATATTTCTAAAAGAATTCCGTTTATGTAAATCACATAATTCAGAAATAGGCATCGGTCTGAGATTTAATAGTGTTGTGATCGCGGAGCTGCACATCGTACCAGAAACTACCTTCGCAGCTTTGTATTGTAAATCGTGTACTAGTGCTACATTTTTTTGGTTAGCATGAATTTTTACCTCAGAAACTGCGTAAGTGTTTATGTCCATTCACTTATTCGGTTGTAAAGGATCGTCGCCTTGATGAGTACGTTCATATAAGTCGGATGACAGTTGAAATCGAAAGAACGGCGGCAAATATGTGCAGTGACTTAAAATTTATATAACTTTAATGTTTTGTTACTGCGGCTTTTAAGAATATCTCTGAGACCTCAGCATCTACATCCAACTTGAGAAATCTTTTTTGTTTTCATAAACAAAATTATACCACAGAACCATGTCATTTATGAAAGTTTCAACAGTTTTAGTGAAAACTAACGATCTTGGAAGCCATTTCAACGCGTATCAACGTAGCAGAAACTTTTACAGTCCTATCCAACGTACCTTTGGGTGTTCAGTACCTAATTCTTCAATAAGTGTAACTTCCGTTATAATGAAACGAACATTAGCATGCTGAGTATAATATTCGGCTTGTAGTGGATCTAGTGCAACATTTCTATCAAGTGCTAATGATGCCATTATAACACGACTTTCAAAATGAATACCACCGACGTTTAATGGGGTTGCATAATTTATGTTTCTAACAGAAGGCATTAAACGAAAGGAAAGTTAAATGAATAATGTTTGAGGTAAATGGCCAAGCATTCATTCTAAATTGAAAAACTCAGTAATGTTCGAGAAAATCAGTAACGACGTCCTTTTAAATGACAACATCAAAAACGTTAAGGGAAGCTTAGAAGTCCCGGTTTTTTCATAACTTTGTAGATCGCATCAAGATGTGCATACGCTTAAGTTTTCTCAAGACTGGTAATTTTGAACAAAACCGTTTTCAGTCCTGCAATAATGTGCCACTGTACTTACATAACAAAAGAACTCATCACACCAGCAACATTCATGCACTCTTTTATCGTCTTCTGATGAAGAAGTAACATCCATAGACACGAAAGTTTTTGAAATTTCGTTCTTTCTCTTTGTCGTAGCGTCGAACAGATTATGTGAAGAGTTGAGAATTTGCACCCGGATATCTCCGTTTACAGGTCAGTTAGCTTCTCTTCAAAATAACTTTCGTGTTTTGGAATAGAGCTGACAGAAAATATGATAAAATTTAGTACGAATTACGTTGCAGCTTCTCAGACTGAAATGCTCATTTATTTCATAGAAATCTAGTACTATGTAATTTGCTGTAATTATTTATTTTCGTTTATCCTGTAGGATTCAGAAGTACGTTAGTGCTTTGTGAACTGTTACATGATTATCGATGATGATTATACAAAGTACATTTCACATACACCATACTCCAGCTCACGCAGGGAAATTGAGAAAGTTCTACTCATTTGAGAAAAGTCTACATTCTACAAGATAAGAAGGTTGAGCAATGTACCTAAAAATGTGTTTGTGCAATGGTAACAAAGTGCTTTGTTTAGAAGACCATTCGCCACAAGACAGTCAATAGGGAAATTATTTAAGAACACCACCAAGACGGGGCACAAGATAATCTCACAAGCAGAGTAAAGAGACACCGAGGCAAGCCAGAAACTGGTAAACCACCAAGACTCCACCGAGATGATTTTTCTGATACTACCTGAAACAGATGTCAGTTATAAATATTCTCACTTCCGTTACTTACTAACCAATCTTCTTGCAACGCACTGAGACCAACCAGGTGTGACTACAGTCACCTGGATAAAGTTATAGTAGTAGTGCTAAGAAAGAGCTTTGTTTAAAAGACCGATAACCAAAGAAATTTTTTTTCAAGAATACCACCAAGATTGGTCACATGATCAATAATCGATAGCGGTGCATACTTGTCGACGACAGTAATAACTAATCATCGAAATACTTGTAGAAGCAAGCACTTCTATTTTAAATTCATTCCTTATTCCATTTATACCGTTATTATTCATTTCAAAAAATAATTCACAGATAACGTTAGCATATGACGCACAAAAAGAAAGCCAGCTGTAAACGCCCCCTTTGCTCTGATTTGCACCATGCCAAAAGCGAATTACAACAGCAATTCCTGATTAATATCTGTTCATGACTGTTGCAATATCTGTTCTACAAAACTAAACAAGTCCGAGACCTCTGTCTTTTTCGTTTAGTCTTGTAATAGGCGTGTAACTGGGACCACCTCAGCAGCCTCGGGACCGACCGTTTTTAGCGTTTGAAGCCCCAGTAATATATGCAAACATAGGATTTCAACTATGCAGATTCTCGTGGCGATTAGGGATGTGCGGTAACCGGTAAATTCGTTTACCGTTACCGCGGTAACGGTAAAAATATTTTATCGCTACCGCGGTAAATTTAGTACGATAAAATTTTTTTTACTGTTACCGATTTTTTGTCTCAGTAAAAAACTATTACCGTTCATTTTTCCGGTAAATGTTTTTTACCGTTGTCTCGTTTCAATAAATGTTGTTTGCTTATGTTTGTGTTTCTAAATGTTCTTCAGACAAATGAATAAAAGTAATCTGAGTCATGAACAACAGTTCAAATTTCGACGCTACATATT